CATAAGTATAAAATGTTCTATGTATACACCTGTCAAGTAGAATCTAATTAAAAATTGTTATATATCCTTGAATGTAATGCGCATTGACTATTTTTTAGGGAATGGAAATGCGCAGCATAAATGCTGTTTATTATTATCCTTATGAGAGAGAGAGAGAGAGAGAGAGAGAGAGAGAGAGAGAGAGAGAGAGAGAGAGAGAGAGAGAGAGAGAGAGAGAGAGAGAGAGAGAGAGAGAGAGAGAGAGAAGGGCAGACGGGCGGACGGACAGACGAACGGACAGACGAACGGACAGACGAACGGACAGACGAACGGACAGACAGACAGACAGACAGAGAGACAGACTGACAGACAGACAGACAGACAGAGACTGGAAAAAACCGAAAGGTTTAATAATTTCCCCACGAAATTGATTCAGTGTGCTGGTTAACTGCTCCCTTTGTGAGCAGTGTGAACTGTTTAAATAGAAATTGTCTGGCACTTACTTCTTCAAATAAAAAAAGAAACCAAACGACAACAACATATGGTCGCTTTTAAGGACAAGCGGGCTAACCCAGATTTTGGGGGTTTTCAGAAATCTTGACCGACACCAAAAGTGGATATTGCCCTACCTATAGGAGAAGTTTGGTTTCATTGGTGTGTATATTTGTTTGATGATAGAGAAAACCCTCCTTGCCTTTTAAAGAAACTGAACATGGGGCAAAAACTTTACCTTCGTTTTTCTCAAAACAGGATTTTTCGGAATAGCCCCCAATTGGGCTTAAAAGCGACCATAAAATCTGTTAGTAGTACCTGTTGTACCAACAGCAGCAACAGGAGGAGGAGGAGGAGGAGGAGTAAAACTATCATAGTAGTAGTAGTAGTAGTAGTAGTAGTAGTAGTAGTAGTAGTAGTAGTAGTAGTAGTAGTATTATTATTATTATTATTATTATTATTATTATCATTGTTATTATTATTACTTCTACTACTACGACGACGACGATGAATACTACTAATACTGCTACTGCTACCTCTACTACGACAATTACTACTAATACCACTACTACTGCTACTACTACTATCATTTACACCATCGATATCATCATTATTTCTATTTTGTTCCTACCTCCTACCGTCTTCCCACCCCCCCCCCCCTCCCCTCTGTCCCAACCCACTTGGAACGAAATGCATCCGCTGTCTTGAGACTTTCATGCACTTTATTTTTTATATTTTTTTTACAGTGCTGAATCGAAGCTCGGTAACGACATGGATGCCTACAGAATCAATGTGTACAGTACCGGGCGAGTGACCTCACTGCTTCCTGTGGTCATCAAATCTATGTGCAAGCTCAATGTACTTATGTTCCCATTTGACACTCAGGTGTGTTTCGACTTAAACACTTTGCGGTAGAGCTGGGCTTAGGATCGATTCCGGAACCGATTTCCACGATTAATGCTACGTAAGAAAAATTCCGACTCCTGTTTACGTAAACCAACGATTACCAGTTACTTTGATCATTAAAATCTTCTTCTATATTTTAAAATTATTTTTTTTTAAAGTTGATGCTTCGTAGTGTTCCGAAAGCAATGTTACCATAAACCCTGAAGATGTTCGGAGCCAACCAGCAGGTAACCACCCGAAGAAATCACATCATTTGAAAGAAAGTAATTGGGTTCGGAGTAGATTCCTACGATTCCTAGCTTTCAATAACCGGGAACCTAACCTCCCAGCTCTACTTTGCGGTCACTTTGCGCAATAATAAGTCCGCTGCAGTCACTCTCCTGGTTGGGTGACCAGATGGGGTATTTTGTACTGCTGGCTGTGTTTTATGTATGTTGCTGTCTGTTTATACGTCGGGTTACGTAGACCAAAGAAAGCCTATTCCTCTGAACCCCCCCCCCCCCCCCCGATTCAAATTGTATGCTTTTATTGAGTCGTAACACAAAACAAACATGCACACATTCATACATACATACACACATACATACACACACACACATACACACATACATACATACATACATACCTACATACATTAATTACTACATACCTACCTTTATACCGTACATAACTTCCTGCATAGCTACATACGTACCGAAATACATTAATTGATGCCATACTTAAGTCCATCTCACACCACACCCACCACACACACACCCACCGATCCTTCCTGCATACATATATTCCGGCATACATGCAGACATACCTTCATGCATACACCCCCGCGCGCAATACGGAATGAAGTACACCCAACGCCACGCATACAATGATGACAGAGTTAGACTAGCTTTCGATCATAATGGCAGGTTCGAGCAATCGAATCGTACCATTTTGTTTCTAACAACGCATACAATACAGAAAGGCCGTTGTCGATTATGCAATTGCCTTCGAAAGTACCTGGGGATACGTCGATAAAGTAAC